GGAGCGGGCCGGTAGGGCTGCGGAGCGGGGCTCGCTCTCGGCTCTGCTGCGCTCCGGGCGCCTCGGCCGTGGGGGCAGGGGCTGGCCGCGGCGCGCCGCGTCCCCGGCGGCGTTAAGGGCGGCTTTAGCATCTCTGAAGTGTCATTAGCGGAAAAGTCATTCATTTGATCCCCGGTGAAAACGATCGCCTGATCCGAGGGCGCGGGGAGCTCGGCAGAAGTGGGAGGGAGAGGCAGAAAGAAACTTGGGAGAGAACGGTCTACTTTTGCCTCTCCTCCGTTTCTCTGATGTATTTTTGAAGGACTGTAATAGGTTAATGCATTTCCAGGAAAGTCACTAGTCGAGAAAAGACGCCACAGATGCTGTTTACGTGTTTGTCTCTGTCCTCTTCGAACTATGCTGAGTTGGGCTGTCTGCAGCTGAACGCTCCTGAGGAGGTTTCTGCTACCCCGGCAGCGTTTCTGAAGCGCAGGAGCTGTGAGCTGCTCTGGGAGCCGAGTCTGTGGGTGCTCCTCGGCCGTGGAGGGTGCAGCGGCTGTCCGCGTAGTGCTCAAGTACGCGTTTCAGCCGGGCGCTAAGCTCAGCCTTTGAAAACTTGGGGGATTTCTGCGGTGGGAAGATTTTCGATGCCGTGCATCGGAGACGCTTGTGCTCTGTTACTATAGCCAGCAGCCTTTGCTCAGAGGACGTACAGGAGAGTTCCTCTGACATTTGGTATAATTTTGTAATTTAACTTCCTCATTGTAATTGGTGGTGTATTGTTTAAAGTGTCATTTGTGATACTTCTGAATGCTTGAAGGACGTGCCGATCACTAGTTTATCCCCAACCGACAGAATCAGTAGAAATAATTTGACTTTCACTCAGGCCTTCAGAATGTACTTCATGACACATTCAGTTATCTACATAAGGTCAAACCTCTAAATACAGATATGATCAGGGATTTTTCTATTTGTCCTTTTAGGTAAGTTGTGCAATATGTTGTAGATCATGTCTTGCTAGTCAGGCAATGCAGGGAGACACAATAGTTTATTTGATAAGTGAAGATTAGGAAAGAGTATAATGGATTCTGTCTTGCAGTACAGTGTCATCTCTGGGCACCTGAACTCCAGGAAACCTGCTCTGTAGTTTCCTCTTTTTATTAATAATTTTAGTGTGAGTGGTCTTACTGTGGTGGGATTCAAAAAGAAGCAGCGGTGGAAGTGTCAGGAAGGGTACATCGTTAAGTTATTTGAATTCTTTTTTCTTTTTTCCAGAAATCCTATAGATGCTTTACAGTAATGCCAATTTAAGGTTACGTTCATTTACTACATGAAACAGTCTCTGTCCCACCTCTTCACTGTTTTTCTAATATTTCTCTTTAAGTCAAAGCAATCACCAGTGATTCATTAATGTGTGCACCCTTAATAAAGATATCTGTCATACATGCATTAGGGACATTAGTCAGGCTTTTCGTCCGTGGATTACTGCAAGTTTCTTGAATGAGACATAGAGGATGAATTCTAAATTCCACCTAGTTTATATATATATTTCTCTCTCTGAGGAGTTTTACTTCAGTATGTTAACACACTACACTTTTGATGCAAGTCGTCAAAGCACTGGCCAGATGACTGCGTGTTTGGAAGTGACAGTTCGGCATAGATTCTTGGACTGAGAGACTTCCTGGCTGGAATGATCTTTCTTGTGCTCCAGCATCCTTTACTTCGCCAAAGGGAGAGGCCTTCTGGATCCAACTTCCTATTTTTTAAAAAAAAGGTCAATGGTTTGTGTATTTTACCACCTGACTCCTTCAGTGTAATTGTCTAATCTGTGCACCCCTTGGTTACAAAGCACAGACAGCAGGCATCTACGTTACAGTAACAAATTACTATTCCCTAACAGTACTTTGCAGCAGTGTGGAGGAGAGAAAAAACTGGGCACTAAAATCTTTATATGTTTTTGTAACTTTTGTTCTCCTTTTAATTATAAAACACCTTTAGTGTGCTGGAACAAGGTTAATGACTCCATTATCATAGTTTCCACACAATTTATCAATGATATCTCTGTAAATTAGGATAGCATGACCTTGAATGCACCATGTGACTGTAGCTGCTTCTTCAGTGCTGCCTAGGAATGAAGTCAGAGAGAGAAATGTGGAGGTAGGACATGACTATTTATAATGTGATGCTTAAGAGACTGTGAGTATTTCTCATTTGAAAGTTTTGATAATTCAGCAGTGAAAATTCACTTGTAGATGAAATCAGGGAACGGCTAATTCAGTTTGCAGGAATTAGCTTAGTTGTTTTGAAGTATGGAAAATAAAGGTGCTTTCATGATTTTTCATTACGTTGTGTTTGATTAAACACCCCCCTCTTGGAAATAATGAAATACTTCATCTTTTATCACATTATGAGGTGCAATGCTTCTTTAAAAAACTGCCGATGGAATATTGCTGTTTTATGTGAGCTGAACATCTCGAGCTAAAATTATTAACTTAGAAAAAACAATCATATAATGTAGGAGTTGCTGTATATCATGAGGAGGAGTAAACATCATGAGAAACTAATTAGCAGTTCCACGATATGAGCCGACAGAGAACTCTCCTGACACCCAATAAATAAGGTTTTAATGCAGGAAATTATCGCCTGGTTTTGCATGGGGAGAAAAGATTGTAAGAACCATTATTATTATTATTTAATCTTCATTGTAAGAGCTCACAGAGAACTATTCCTTGGAGACTATTTCCTGTTTGGGTTTTTTTGTTAGGTTTTTTGCGAGCCACTTATTGTGCTACGGCTGGCAGAATCACAGAGATTCTCTTAAAACACATGTAAAGACTTTTGCTTTTTTGAATATATACCCTTTCAATAGGAGAATTTTGTACAGCAGTCAAATTAGTCAGGCATATTTGCAAATGTTGTGCATTCTGACCTTCTGCTCTCTCTGGTGAAGAGGAGAGCCTTACTGTTTTTGAAATACATACTTCTGAGTTCCGTATGTGATGATTGCTACATGCAGAACAGTTTAGATTAAGTACTATCTTCTTCCTACAGATGCGCAGATGCGTAGTTGTAAAAGTAGCAATGTGTTAAGGAAAGGCATCCTAATTTGGATAAGTAATCACATGGGGAAGAGTCATGTGAGGAGCAATGTTGTCTCCAGTTCCACTCTGTTCATCGCTGCTGTCTCAGATCCGCAGTATCTTTCTCCAGTAATTCCCAACAGTAGGCGACACAGGTCCATGATGTGCACAGACTCAATACAGCTTTGGTTTTAGTTTGAAGGGTTGCAGGAACAGCCCACTCAATTGTACTGCATAAACCAGGGTCTTTATTATTTGCGGAGTTATAAACTTCCACAGATGCCCTCAGCAGAATCCCAATGAATGATCCGAAAACATGGATTTCAGACCTCAGGAGCACTGCAGCACGTTTTGTCCTGGAGCTGCTGCCTGACACACCTCTTCCTCAAGGAAAATGGTTTGGACATACTAAGTAACCAGGTGATCTGACTAACTGAGCAATTTAATTTACTTTTAGAAGTATTTAGTGGTATGACCGTATGAAATACGAATAACATTGATATGTCATATTGATGGTTTCTAATGTCTCTGATTTGACTCTAAATCGTCAGACTTTAAGCTTCAACCCATAATGCTTTAGCTCCTTATGCAAAAAGGCATTTAATACACGTAATAGAAGGAGGGACTTAAAACCAGTTTTACTTTCTCAGTCTAGTCATTTACTTAACAGTAAGCATACACTAAAATGTTTTGCTGACTATAGATGGACTTGGGCATAATTGCACGTGCTTTCCCAGTCAGGAGATTTGGACCCTCATTAGGATGGTGACAAGAGTGGCCGTGTTTGGGCAGACCGCAGGTCTGCATCCTCTGCGTCCTATTCCCGGTAGTGGCAACAGTGGTTTCCCAGCAAAGAGTGAAAGGACAGGACAGTACTATCCCAGCACCCAGTGATTTGTGGCTCAGGAATTTAGTAGCCTTGTAGTTGTTTTGTCTTCTGTTTTTTTTTTTCTTAATGAGTTCATCCATGAGTTTTGCAATTAAAACTTGGCTTGCAGTTAAGTTTTTTTTTTCTTTAAAAGTTTGTGACAAGCCTTTAGAAAGAGAAGTACAGGAATATTTTGGTTTTCCAAAGATTTTCCCTGCACATGTAAATACCATGTCGGCTAGCTAAAATGTTACTATTTTCCTACAGACTTTTTCATACACATATTCCTGTGTATAGTTATGTTTTTAAGAAATTTCTTTGGTTATTTGAGTTCATCAATAATTCTCTTCTACGTTCATTAAAAAATTCTGTGCATACAGATTGTCTTTTTGTGTTTTTTCTTCCTGGGTATCAATATATACTATCTTCCAAGATGTGAATGTTGGATAAAATTTTCTTCGCTAATATAAGGAACAATATTTTACAATAGAAAGCTGCATGATTTTCCTGAAAAAAAAAATTATCACAAGGGTCTTGCAAAAAACAAACCCAAGGAACTATGAAAACCTGCATGGTTGCACTTCTGGTATATAATGCAAAGATAGTCTTTGAAAATAAACTTTACTTCAGACCTACTCTTTTTTCCTAACTTGTGCTCCTTAGGATTTTACCAACTCTAGAAATTAAATTCAGAGTTCTCTTTTTACCATTACTTTATGTCATTGTTATGCTTGTCCATCTTAATTTAAAGACTATTGAAGCTGACTTCTGACTCATGTAGCTGGTGATTTATTCTTCAGCTCCTCCAGAGAGATTGTGATGTTTCATGTCAGAAACTCTGTGTGTTCACTGGCAGTAGAATTATATTCATCAGTCTTTTTCCTTCTCTGAGAGTTGCAAATGTGCCATTAAAGGATGGGGCCATGACTTTGTTAGTGCATCA